CTTTAAGGACATAAAATAACAATAGTTCTTTCATGCTGATTTAATAACACACTCAACCTTTTTTGGTCAATTAAAATGGGGGTAGATATGCATTTAGTATTTGAATTTTGTTTTAAAAATGTAGTTTATAATTAAAAATAAAAACAAATATCCCACATTTATACCTTACTAGTATTTTTAGAAATCAGTAAAATTGCATTTGTAGTACTAATCCTAATTTTTAACGCTCATTCTCTCTCTCTTGCTTCTTCACTAAATTCTCCTCCTCTTCCTCGTACCTCCTTTTCAAATTCCTCCCTCCTGATCCACATGTTTTCTATAATCTTCTCTATTCATTGAGGCAGTCTACTTATCTTGCCATCTTTTCTATCTCAGTTCCTCTCCAGGATCGGCAGTTCAATGTTCTTCCAATATGACCTTCCCTCTCCTTTTGCTCGTCTCTGCACTAAGCTTCTCGGAGAAGACTGTGGGGTTATGGCCAGTTCAAAGATTGTCTGCAGTCTAAGGGTTGAGTTTATGAATTTCAAAGGCCAATTCAAGACCAGAACAAGGGCTCAGACTCTCTAATGAGGACACTGTTCACACAGAAAGATGACATGATGGTGTGCATTAACTCCCAATGGCACTAACGGAAAGGCTACCCTGCTGCAGATTTGGTTCCCAGCAAATGTCACTTGATCACCCATCTGCTGGCTCAAAGTTACAAGTCTTGCATTGCTTGTAACTGATCTCGAGCAACCATCAGATGAAATTGCAGTCCAAATGTCAGAGTTCTTTTGTGAAACTACATAGTGGCAATCTTTATTCAGGATTCTTTCTGTCCAAGGAGGAAATGTACTACAATTCAAAAGTAACTGAGGCTTAATATCCAACCAACTTGCTGAAGGGCACCTGAATAATGTTTGATGAGGCAGGCAGTAGCTTTCTGCACTGAACCCTGTCAAGCTTAGGAATTAGAACCAAAAGCCACACAGGAATACACCCACATCTCCATCCTACTCACTATAAGATAGGTGCAGAGGGAAGGAAATATGTGGGCAAGTCTAGGGAGAGGTTCACTGGTTATGAATGAAAGCTGGCAAATCGGTGATTGTTGTTACAGGAACACAAACAATTCATAAAAAACAACTTTACAGATTTGAATTTCTACTATTTTCAACTTTATTGGGTTGGTAGCAACAACAAAACCATGTTCTTTCACAACATTTTGAAAATAAAAAAATAGATACTATGTAATTTAACACAATCTGCCTCCTATTAAAACATCAGCAGCTTAGTTGATTCAAAACAAATGGTGTGCCATACCTTTGACAGAATTTGTCTGATTTTTTTTGGCTGTACAGCAGAATAAAAACAGATTCACACACTTTACATACAGTATACTCATATACAGTATAATGTGTAAAGTTTTAAACATAACTTAATAAATAAATACATATTATTCTTTAATTCATAAAAACTATTGTTTTACTAAAAGCCCAGATGAATGCACTTGAAAATAAGATCACTTGTTTGAACAAGATAACAGTTTATTTTTCTACCACTCAAGTTTGGTCATTGTAATATAGACACATATAAACAATTTATTTTTTAGATATTCATTCATTGGCTCTTGGATTTGTGAAAATTTGAGCCAAGACACACATGTTACATTACCCGCTACAAAAAAGCCCACCAAAGGAATGCATATTTGTGCAACTTCTTACCAAATACTATTATCTTCACTTGAATATATGCTGACGTTTACATTAAATGGTAACGACAGAGCAATTTTTTAGGCTATTACTGAATGTTGTTTTCTTCTGCGTTTGTTGCGTGTCACCATATTGTGAAGGTAATATAGCATTAATTCAGATCCTATACATTTCTTCTACTACCCAACTGCACTTTGCTCCAAAGAAGCACCAAAAACACAAGCTATCAAAATAAAAAGAATCGCACGTTCAGTATTTGACACGGCTCTGCTGTACTTCCCTACTGCTATTCCTCATATCTGCCAGGTCATATGGCTACACAAGGGAATTCACAAGACAAATCTGATGTCTCCTCTTGTCATATATATTGTAGACATCATATAGTGGAACATGAACCCATTTGAAGGAAGTCTGTGATAAATGGGTGACTTGACCCATTCTTGGTTAGACCCATTTGAACTATCAATCATGTCAATGAAAACTAACTTCAGAACTGTCACTTCAGATGTGTTCACAGTCCAACCTTATGGTCATGTAGCTGGAAACTGAAAAGGTGCAGCATGTTTTTGTGCCAGTGATAACTTGTCAACATATTCTTTCACTTTAAATACAAAATACATCTTTAGGCACGTATACAGAACAGTCTGTAATGCATCAAAGCTGTATAAAGCAATACTTGTTATATTAACACTGAATCAAACAACTCATGGTTATGTTAAAGGGGGTGAATTATGATGAATCGATTCCCCATACTGCTGCTTTACAAAGATTTGAAACAACAACAGTACAAACTATGGGCAGCCACTCCCAACAAATTATTATTTCAAGTTGATTCTAGTCTACCTGCCTCAAGCAAATTGCAAAACTCCAGAGCAAACTAATGGCTAGTAAAGAAAAAAAGAGCATATGGATGACCCAAAAGAGATTTTTTCTCTTGGTGATATTGGTTTTCAAAACCTTAGCTTAAAAACAATGTTGTACTTACATTCGTCCCTCAAATGTAATAAGCTGAAACCTCATGTACTTTCCGTTGTGTTTCCCAAGTGTTCGACCACTTAATGCAGCTTTAAAATTAGGAATGACTTACGCAGGCCACTATTCAGCAACATAGAATGCAGTTACAACATAAAGGGGCTAGGTTTGCTGCATCACTTGGTTTCTAGCTTGAACAAATATACACTACAAGGAAGGCCTAAACCACACTGACACCACTATGTGATCAATGACGATATTTAGTATAAATTCTTGGCTATGGCACTTGGCTTTATTAATGTGAAATAAATTTTTCTTTGACACGGATCAAATGGGAATATACATTGACTCGACTGACTGTACTAAAGTGCTGTAGCAAGGACTAGAGTCGTAACCAGTGGACGTTTTTTGAGTTGTTTTAAAAGCCCACATCGTCTGCACTTTGTGTATAAAAAGCCCCAGGTTGGGGAACAGTCTTAAGATTTAACTGGTCAGGAGTGGGCACAGTAAAAGAACAATCGAGGTTATCCTTAAGTGGAATTGAGTTAACTACTGAACGTATCTGATTCAAACAACCCATTATGGGTTCCATTTGTAACACCTATTCGCTGCCCTTCCCAGTACAGTCATATGTTGAAAAGAAAATTCAACAAGCCGAAATGTACAGTTTGATTGCCACTTAGATTTCACCCTGTAGAAAGTGCATACTTAATACTGGGGTGGTTCACAAAGGCATTGACAAGTATCTAAAATGGGGGGGCAGAAGATTTGTTGTCGTTTGTTGTTTTTAATCAGAAAGTGCCTCGGTGCAGCAGAAAGAGACTGCAATTTAGAAGTAATGAGAAATGTCCGGCAAAAAGTGTAACTAACCTCTACAACATGAGCTACTGATAGCCTGAATCATTTATAACCAAATTTAATTCCAGATTTTCACATTCACATTAAACAGAGCCCTGTCCACAAATTCTAGGAATTACAATTCAATATCAATTCTCAGCATAGTTATCTTTTAACAGCCTTAAGCCTACATATTCAGGTTTACACAGCCTCTACTATCACTTACCTATACTGAATTGACTTTTGTGAGTTTGTTAAAAGCAAAACCCAGGAGGTGCATTTAATAATAAGTACATCCTCAATACAGCTTAATTACCGAATTCTGTTTTGAAACTAAATACCTTGCATTATAAATAATAATGTGAATGTGAATTAAATGCAGTTTCATTTTGTCAATGCTCTTTGTTCACTATCCAGTATACGTGGCTCTGTATAAACAGTATATACAGGGTTGGATTTAATATTTATTTGCTGGTTAGAAATGGCTGTCATGAGCGCTCATGCATCAAACTGTTAGCAGAATACTCATAACACAGCCATATCAGGAATGCCACACGAATGGTGGGAATGCTGTTGCTGTTGTGCATAAGCGCAAAGGCAGACCTTGAAAAAAAAAAAATAAAATAATAGATTGTGCTGGACATCAGTTCACTACTTACAATATAAAGGTCTCAGTGTCAAACAGTCACATCCTATGTCTGAATTCTGACAATAAGGTGCTCTTTAGGGTTACACCAATCAATTGGCAATTAAGTATTCTCAGCTAATATTTAAATTGGTAAACAATTAAAACAGCATATCATCTGTTAAGAATCTGACACAGTTCAAACTACAGCAGTAGACAATGGGTTGAATGTTATGACAATTTGATGTCAATATACGTTAGTAACCATTTTAAATCAATTGAAAACTTTACTTCTTTCTCATTGTGGGGATTTTTACTTTATCTAGAGGGTTTCTACATGCCTTAGTTACGTTGTTTCTTTGCAGTACTCAGTACGGGTTTAATGTTTGTGATTTATGTTTTGCCAAACTACAGTGCCATATTACACACAGTGACAATATCAAAACTGTCAAATTGATGATTGGCTAATCACTCTAATAATAGAAAAAAAGTGTCAACTGACCATTAAATCCTGACCTTTTTGCTTACCTCTTCAGTTCACGTTATGTTTACAGATTAAACAAAACATTTTTCAGCAGGAATGGACTGTGCACTTTCCTCTACCAAACAGTCGAGGCCAAACGCCAACTGTTATCATAGCACAATAGCTGTCATTGTCACTGTGTGTTTCTACAGTTAAAAAGTCAATGTTTTACAACCTTTAGAAAGGTTTAAGAAAACAAGTAAATGTAGGTTATCTAGTCTCAGCTAATGAGAGTAATAGAAAGAACAAATACATCCAAATGGAAGGTTGATCTTATTCATAACCACTTACTTACTGCAACAGGAATGAAACAGTAGTATCACATTTGGTGTCTGAGGAGATATTTGTAAATCATTTAAAGTTAACAGTTTTGTCTTCCCACTATGTCTAACCTGGCTGATGACATACAATGAGATGTAAAGGCTAAGAAAGCGATGGGGAGACTACTTTCTACATGATCTACAGCCAAGGTACATACCACAGGATAAAAAGCCATCACAGACTGCTATCTCTTTAAATCTCTGTTGCTGCACACATGTGCTTTAAAAGCTTGTAATGCAAATAAACATTGTTTGTGTGACGAAGGCAATGTCAATGGAGTCAGCTGACAGGCTTATACATAAATTGCTTTCTGTTAGGTAAGCCGTGCCTATGTTACTGAAATTAACTAGCTGCTAAGCTTGGTAATATTTATGTTCCCCACTGATAGATTCCAGCAATATTGTCATCCTGAAACAATCCTCCCTTCAGATGGAGCATGAGTTTGCCCTTTTCCTTGGTTTAGGCTCCCCAAAGTCCCTGTCATCTGCCGCACAGTGGCTGAAGGAGCACATCGTCTGCGAGAGCCTACGCATGCCTAGGCGGAACACACTATTAGACAGGCTGTAGATGACACAGTTGCAAAAGCTGTTGCTAATGGCCAGCCAGGTGGTGATGAAGGAGAGGGCAGGGCTATCCAGCACATGGGAGCTTTCAAGCAAGAAGTAAATTATGTAGGGCAGCCATAGCATGTAGAAAACGCTGGTGATGCGGAACAGCACCATTGCGTATCGCCGGTCTGGTCCATGCCCTCCATGATGGCCACCACCACCCCCTTCACCTGTCTCCATCTCCTGGCTTGGGAAACGAGCCCGCCTTTCACTGATATCCCTGTTGTGCTGCTGGCAAATGCGAAATATATGGTAATAGGTAAAACAAACCACAAGTGCAGCAGGCGCATAGAGCAAACACACCACAAAGCCTGTAAAGAGGGCAGAGGTGGGCCAAGAGTGAGCGCACCACTCAAAAATGTCCCCATGATAGCCTGGCTTACCCCAACCAAAGAAGGAAGGCAAGAAAACCAGGCTAGAGTAGACCCAGATAAGAGTGATGCAGCCTCGTAGCCGGCATGGCGTCACCAGCTGGTTGTAAGACAGTGGTTTTGTTATGGCCAGGTAGCGGTCCACGCTGATGCAAGCCAAGCAGGCCATTGAAACACTCTTCAGAACAGAGATGACGTAGCTAAAGACCTGGCATGTTATGGGCTCCTGGACACCTGCTGGGTAGTGGAGTAGCGATAGGGTGGGAACCAGGCAGCTAAGACCCACCAGCAGGTCCGCATAGGCCATGGTCTGGATGAAGTAGCTGGTGGTGTAGTGATGTAACAAAGGGGCACAGTGGAACACAAAGATCACCGTCAGGTTCCCTGCAATGATCAGCACGGTCAGAAGTACAATGACAGCAGTCTCCAGGACACAAGCCTCCAAGCCTTTGTTCAGCCCCCAGCCCAAGGGACAAGAGTGGTTGGCGGCCTTTCCAGGAAAGAAGTCTCCATGACTGCTGTTGGCAGTGAGCAACGGGTCGGTTGTCAGTTCAGACTGGTTCATTGTTCTGGGTGCTATCCAGGTGAGTCAGGATTGTGGTGTGTCACACATAAGGCAGCTGGCCTGAAACTGAAGAACTGCCTGCCCTGCCCCCCCCCCCCCCCCCCGATCTACACCGGGTGTCTGCAGCCTTCTTCAGTTAACAGAGCTCAATACTCTCTGTAACACACTCACTCTCCTTTTCACCTTCCTCTCACATAGCTGGGTCTCAATCAAATGAACACTGAATGGAAGAAAATCAATACTGCCTCTGGGAGGGTAGGACAACCCGTTTAGCTCTCCTTTTCCAATCACTCATGGTTAGTGAAAGTAGTGGGTGGTTAACAGTCGGGAGTAGAGAGGGAACAAAAAAAAACTGTATTCCTTTAGTAAACCAGCGTAGCAGGAAAGTGTTGTGACCAGCATCTATCCCAAAGGCGAGTTTCCCCGCTGCTTTGCCTGCCAGTCTGTGGCCTCAGCTCCTGATCCTAATGAGGGTTGCCACCGGGAGGCTGAGGGCATAAGCTGTCCACACAAGGGCAGAGAGCGCAGAAGATGAGGGGGAGGACAACATTCGACGAGGTTAAAGCATGAAGCAAAGCACAATGCTGTCAGCTCTTAACACATCCTCACAGGAGATCAAATAAGTTAGAAGCATTTGGCTCCTATTTCACTCCAGGACATCAGATGACATTTACAGAAACCTTTAAAAATAGAGTTTTTGGGCAACCATTGCTAAGAGAAAAAAAGCTTCTTAGGAGTCTCTCTTTGTCTATACCAAAGTTTGGAAAATAATATAACATCCATCTCTGCAAATCAGCTCTTCAATTCGATCCAAACTTCCTCTGTGCCATTGGTGCTGGTGTGTTTACAATGTAACAGTAGGCTTCCCCTTATTTTGGTGGTCCTCTGGTCAGTGTCTGGAGCCCATGCATGCCCAGCTTTTGTCTGAATCAAAACACAGACACAGGCTAGAACAACATGGGGATCTCCGCAGGAGATAATGTCACAGCTCTCTCTGCACACACAGCGGTGGGGGGAAAATGTGTATACAAGGCATCCCTAGGCAGAATGAGGGCAAAACCAAGCGCTTTAAATTGTCTGGATGAGTTTGGCTATTAAAGTGATTTAAAGTTTAAATCCAAATGTGCAAACTTGCCTCTCAGTGTTCTGGACTGCAAGTCACGAATGAAAAACAAACAAAAAAGTCCAGTAGCAGATGAAAGTGTTGAATGTAATACTCCCATGCAGGCAGGTGGAAGGACTCTCCTGGAGCAATGAGAGGCCAGCTGAATAGCTCAGCGCTCCTCTCACTTCGACTCCTCAGCAATCCTGTGGCAGACACTTGCAGAGGGGGGTGTGAGGATCAATAGGCAATCCACCTATTTATCCCATGAAGTGTAACTTGCATTTTTGTTGTGATATTTGTATGCATTTGCAGGCAACACCATCTCTTCGGCTGCATCATGTAACCATAGATTTTCTAACTTGCTTTTGTCCTTAATGTATGTGCTCTGTTTGGTTGTAGAGGTATGGGATCCTACAACTCCTCTCTCAGTATGTCTGTCGCCCTGAACAAAACACTGGTAGCGCAACAAAAGGGAATCCACTCTAGCAGCACAAAGAAAATACCAAGTCCCATTCGGAGTCCCAGTTTCAAGCACTGTCCTCTGCAAACGTCCCCGTTTTATTTCCATTAATCAGGACAACCCACGATTTTAATAAATAAATCCTTGGATCCTGGCATACAGATAGAGATGAATGCAATGCATCTGTCAAAAGCAGCAAGTAAAAAGCAAGAAAAAAAAAGATGAGGGCGCTGATGAAAATGAGTTAAATCTGCAGCGAGGGAAGCGAGGGGACGAAGAGTCCCTCAGCCCTGGTGCAGTGAGAAGGAGAGATGCTGTGACTGGCTTACACTTCCCTCCCTCCCTCTCCACACAATCTCTCTAGCTTGCACACTCAGCCTCTCTCTCTTTCCACACACACACACACATACTCAAAACACACACACATGAACCCTCCCTCTTTCTCGCTTTCTCTCCCTGAGCTTTTCGCTCATTGCCCCGCCTCCTCCCATCCCAGCTGCACCTGAGGCTCCCTGCCACATTATTCTGTCTCTCACACTGGCTTTCTCCCAGAGGTACATTTGGATACATTCCCTATTTACATATTACTTATCTCTCAGTCTCTGTTTTCTATTAACTAAAGCCCCCCACACACACCCTCTTTTCTTTCCATCCCTATTTCTGTCCCACTTCTTCCACATAATCTCCATTTTCCATAGATCTAACTATAGCCCCAATACGTTTTTTTTAAACTAAAAATATACCTTTTTTTTTAATAATATACTTTAAAACAACCAACAGTATTTCAAAAATAATTATAGATACAATATCACACCAATAATGAGGAACATGCACTTTTCATGACATCTTTCTTTGGGGGAAGAAAGTGTCACTGGTCATCAGCCTCACTATTATGTTCATGAATACCGGATGACCCTCAATCTCAATAATCCAATGGAACATCTTGGACATCTAATCCTAGTCAAATGAGTCCTCTCCCCTATTTAGCCAGATACCAGGTTCTTTTGGATACTTCATGTATCCTTTATTTAACAAACAGCTAGGCACAGCTATACCTGCCCCTTGGTTACAGTTGCCCAGCATTTGGGCCAGCCAGTTGGGAGCATCCTCTGGCCGGCAGATGATAAGGAGGATCAAGTGACAGCAAATTGGCTAAGCAGAAGGGAGGATGGAAAGAAACGGTCATGCTTTGTGGCCTGGCAGGACAATCTTGAAAAAATAAACTTCAGGGCAACTTTTCTCACATTGTTGTTTTCATCGTATTTTAAAAAGAAAAGCAAAAGAAATGCAACAAGAAGTGGTTTTTCGAAAGATGAATGGAAAATTGCCACTTTGGAAAGCACATTTCCTCTTCCAGAGTGTGGTAATTTGATTATTTGGAAAAGAAGCTAGCTAAAAGAGCTAAATCCGAACGGCAAAATATAGACTTTCTGCCAAGCAATTGTTTTACTGTCTACAGCATAGTTAAAGGTACATAATGTTATTCACCTTTGTGTCAATTGGACAAAACTAAATTATTGAAAAGCGCAAATCTACACCGAACCATTAGAGCAAAACCAAATGTGTTATCTAAAAAACCAACAGGAGAGACATTCACAGACAATGGCTAAACCTAGAACTGACTGAGTGTCCTTGAGGAAGATGTAATGCAATGTCAGAAGATTACACAGGAAAATGTGGCATGCAGCCAATCCAATACTTTAAGAGAACTGTTTATGACAGAGCATTCAATCCAATAAAAACGCCCAGGGACTACAGATGAAAATTAGCTCATCTTACTCTGCCATAATTACATTCAGGTGGAAACTGAAATGTTGAATAATGTCCCCTGTCCCTGGTTAATAGACACATCTGCAGTTTAGGGTAACCTAGCAATACCCATGATACTCACGATAGATAGTAGATGAGGAATTTAAAAAAATCATTGGATAACATCAACAAACACAAGTATTATTACACTGATCATGTTAATATAATTATTATATAAATAATGGCATATATATATATATACACACATAATCAAAATCACTGTTGAGCGAACTCTGTTGTAACACTGTTATAACATGGAAGTTATATCAGCATCAACACCAAATGTAGTTCAAAGTGAGCTAGTGAAACTGTACAACTGGGAGAACATATAATGTGTCAGCTGTTACAGGTTTTAGCTGGATGAGTATTGTCTGTTAACTAATGTTTATGAGATCAAAATGAGAGGTTCAACTTGTGATGGAGACCGCATATTGTTCAGCACCTCTGTTGGTAAATCTGGTCATTCAAAAGAAATGGTGTGATGGAAAAACAGAAGAGAGGTCAGGAAGAAAAGAAAAGTAAAAATAACTACACAAAGTAAAGACAACAAAAAAGTGAATGTAGACAGTTGTGCTGTCACTATGGAAGGAGTCAGTGAATGGGGATCACTCAGTAGAGTGCTCTTTGGAGGTGGACACTGATGAAAAACACGACCAGAAGGCCACCGTTAATAATTCATTCTGCTCCAAAACAAAGCCAGCGGGGCCACTTGGAAACAAAGGTGGAGGTTGATTCACCTTTCACTGCTTCCCAGCATCCCACCCTCCTCCACCCCTGGGCTCCAGCTGATTCCAGTCAACAGCAAAGCATTGGCATAAACAGGGATTTACTACATTAGCTGCTATCGACAGCAACACACAGTACAGAAAGTAACGAGGTAGGGGGTTTAAAATCTTCTTAAAAGGACATATTAAGCAAGCGAGTCAGTGAGTAAAGTTTATATATGCAGCACCCTTCCAGAGCCCCTTTCTAGAGACTCTAACACATGAAAACGTCAATCCAAGGCCTACAAATAAGCTTTAAGATCCATATAAAAAAGTCAATTTACAGAATGTGGCGGCAATGTAAACCTTTACAGTTGTCAGCCTCGGCCTGTGTCATAATGTTGACCAAGAAATAGCCAGTATTGCCAGACCTACAGTCAGGTGAATATGTAATATTAGATAATGATGAATTACATTATGCTTTCCATACATTGGGGCGATTGCTACATGTCCCAATGTGTGTTTTTGTGGTCATTTTATTTGACTGCAGATACATTAAGTTGGGGTAGAGGCAGACCCGGCGCCAGAACAAATCTACAGAGGGCATATGATTTTCATGGGAGGGCACACAAAACCGTCATGTGCCGCGGCCCGAAATTTTCTTTTGGGGGTGCTGTGGGGTAGCTTGACGTTTCATAGAGGGTGCTCAAACATGTAGGGTTTCCCATTAATGTACCGGCGCTACAGTTGAATTTTCTACTGCAACACTCCCCACACGCACATACACAGCACACCCTCGACTGTTACAATGAAGGCTCGATAATCAGCTCACATATAGGTGTAAGCAGGGGTAAAGTGCTATTTTTTTATAAGTGGTGTGTGGACCAAACATCCTCTAGGGGGGTCCGGGGGCATGCTCCCCCGGGGGATATTGAGTTTAAATGTTGTAATATTGAAGTTAAATTAATCAATCTGGTGCACTTTGAGAGCAAAA